TCTATTGTACCACGATGAGGATGCCTATCTCCATACCCCTGAACGCCTTCAAGAAAGTCAAGGCATGCAGTTTTGATGAATTGGGTTAGTGTACACATTATTGCCATTTTAAATGGCTCGATTACTTTTTATAGGTTATTTTGTCAAAGCAAAATCTATTTTTTACACTTTAACAAATCTGAAAAGTTCATTTCAACTACACCGTTCACCATGTTCAATTTTGTAACTCAGTTTTGGTAATGAAATTACTTGACTCTCTGACAATGTTCTTTTGTCGGATTGTCAATAGCCCCCAGGCCTAAATCTACGTCATGACAGCTTTTATTGGCTTCCTTTTTATTGGGAGTAGTCTCAACGCTACAAAACAAATCTGTTTGACTGGAAAGCTTTCCTCCCTACCCTCCCTCCTTCTTCCAAAAAACAAACAACTTTATTCACGCTATTCTGATGGTTGGTCTTGTATACAATGAGATTTTTTGACTACCATCCAACTCTCCTCTCAGTAGGCATGAAGTAAAGTTGGTCTTCCTTCCAACCACAACGACTTTGTGATAAATGGTGACACCTAACTGTCATAATTGTAAGGCCAGGCAACTCATTGCCGTGATTCTCCACCTCATTAAATGTGTTCATGTGAAGGGAATGAGGGCGATTTTTACAAGTGAAAAAAAGCACACAGATAAAAAATGGAGACGAGTAACAACATTGGCACCAGTCCAAAAAACGCGGAGTTTATCAGCAAAAAGTGGCATGCCTCGAGCACCGAAAAAATGAGGTGGAACTTGATGCCCCGCTTTGTTCTAATGGACTGCTATTTATAGGCCCCCAAAATTCGCTCCTTCAATCTTGGCCGTCCTGTGCGTTTCTAGAGTGACAACAAGTTGGCATTCTGACCTACCACTAGGCAAGAAGAGGGCTTATAGGCCTTATAGCATAACATATGAATTCTACTCATTAGTTTATATAAGTAGTATATTGTGTTGACACATCATTTTGATACACACTTTAATGGATTTTATTTTAGCACTTTAGAAATTGTTTTTTGACAATTAAGTACTGTTGTAAGCATAGGTAAGAGTTAAACGGGAACTCAAATAGCTTTCTGTTTCATGTATGTTTGTGTGTGCTAAAAAAGTTTGTCCACCCAAGCATCAACCGCTTTCTATTAAGATTTCTGATTGATGTTTTTAAAGCAAAATATACCCTTTCCTTTTCACTTTTAGCATATATTTTGCCTTGTAAATTGTGTGTGTGTGTGTGTGTGGAACAAATAGACACCAATCAGTATTGCATTTTACTTCAACTGTAGGCAAAGTGCGCCCTCTTTGACAGCTGGGCAGCTTACTAGAAAAGGAGCCATTTACCATGATTATAGGAGGGTTTGAGGACTGCTATTGATGGACAAGAAATCGCGCTATTAAATAGTTTTAGCGATCACCATGGTTCTCCCTTAAATTAGCCAGTATTTTGACGAGTTACGTTTACTTCCCGCGTCACACAAGACGACAAGTCGACTGCCTAGCTTGATCACGCATATACGTGACACAGGTAATTAATGGTTACCAAGGCGAGAAGGAAAGCCCAAATGGAAGGGCCTTTGACACTTGAGGCCAGTGTAGGACCGAACAAAAAAGTTGAGACTTGGCGGTCAATTACTTGGTTGTGAGAGTCACTATTTGCAAATGCGTCACTGGCAGTAGAGGGGAAAACATCCATTTGGGGCATTACTGATTAGCCAATTTCTGAGAATCGTCACGCAGAAAAGGAGTGACTTTGACACAATTCCAATTGCTTAACAATAATTAATTGGCATCGCTGCATTGCTTTTGTAATGCTTCCGCCTTAGGGTAACCTTGTGACGTGGATTTTGAATGATCCGGTGGCTGCACCGAAACCACCTTTCGACATGCACCTCCTGCTGTGTGCAGTGCCACTACGATTGCACTCGCTACTTCCATGGATGTGTGATGCAACTCAAACACGCACTTCCACCCCCAACTACTCCTCTGCATTCATTACGCCGTGCCTCTCAACTCCATCCCTCCCACTCTTCCCACGACCTGCTACCAATTGCCCATCTCCATGACGCCTTCCATCCATCCTCATTCGCCCCATTCACACCCTCAGCCCTCACCCTCATCAATGGACAGGTGTAAGTATGTGAGTATGTGGATAAGTGGGTGGGTGGGTGAGTTAGTGAGTGGACGAACGAACGAACGAACGAACGAACGAATAGACGGACGGACGGACG